GCGACTCAAGTTCGAACTGGATTGCTTATTTCCAGTTTGACCAATCGGTTCTACGTCGGCATTCATTGACGAACGTGGTTCAATGTCATCGCTAAACATAATGTCAGTAGCTACTGAGTACGAGAATGCATCGTCGACAATCAATTCATTCCTATTCCAAACCTCATCCAATACTGTGTAGTAGACCGAAATCCTGCGATTCTCGGAAGGCCGGCATGTTTTATCTGAAGCATCACCGTAATCTAGAATAACATCATGTGTTGGAACGGATAAGTGAGCGATGGTCAGATTTAAACTAGGGTCACTAGTTGGTGCCATTTTCCTCTTCCGGGGTTGTGAATCCTTTGAACTAAGGGGTCTGCCACGCTTCAGGGTCGGAGCAGATGATTGGCTAGCTGCCAATGTACCTTGCCGCGTGGAAGGTGCGGCCTTCCCACGTTCGGGGACGGTCCAGCCTTCCAAAGCAGGTTGTTGACGTACACAGGGTACATCTATCATTGCAGGTGTGTTTGCAGCGGGTATATGTGATCTTGTCACCTTTGCTAGATCATTAAAAGCATCCAGCATGCTTTGAGTGATGCTCTGAAGATCTATAATTCGACGCATCTCAATTTCAGACTAGGCAGTGTGGGGATCTAAATGAGACATAGTAGGAGCATACCATGAAAATTCGTGGCGTTCTACGAAAACGGTAACATGCTTATCTCCCCCTAACAACGAGAAGATTGTCTCATCAAAGTAAAAATCCACAAAACGTGAGGTAAAGAGATCTCCTGTCAAGGGTTCTAAGTAGTGAACAATTGATGGCGAATCATAACCGACATAGATTCTCATTTCTCTCCGAGGACCCATTTTGGTACGTAGCGGCGGCACTATTGGCACATAAATGATGCACCCAAACACCCGTAAATGCGAGACTTCAGACTCGTATCCAGTTACCAACTATAACGATGAATGTGGTTGGGTAGCGGTGGGCCTCAGGCGGACCAACATAGCTACGTGCAATATTGCATAGCCCCAGGCAGATGTCGGCAGTTCGGTTCGCATAACCAAAGTCCGAGCTATTAATTGAAGGCGCTTTATGAAAACTTCTGCCAGGCCATTTTGGGTGTGAACATGGGGTACAGGATGTTCCACATTTATCCCTACTGGCATGTAATAATAGTCAAAAGTCTGTGATGTAAACTCTCAAACACTATCATGTCGAATCGTCTTGATCGGATAATCAAGGTGGTAAGCCATTAGCTTAATGATTTGAACTAGGAGTTTAGCAAACGTGGCGTTGCGTGTGGACAACACGTAAACATGTGACCATCTTGTCGATGCATCAACCAACACCATAAAGTATCTAAATGGTCTGCAGGTTGGTTGGATAGGTCCACAAATGTCCCTTTGAATCCTCTGAAGAAATTTAGGGGGGTCGTGAAGAATCTTTGTATATAAGGGTTGAGTATTCAACTTCCCTAAAGAACACCCTTTGCATGGTGGGAGTCCAACATAGGGATGTAACTTATACCCATGTGAAGATTTGAGGATACGGCGTATCATGTCACGTCCAGGATGTCCCAAACGATCATGCCAAAGCAACAAAGTGTCTGGGAACTCAGGCATAAGGCCGGCCACACTATGAGCTTCTATGCCGCGAATGGTTGTGATGTACAACCCACTCGGCAAGCGTTCCAACTTCTTGTGAATGTACTTCTGGCCATATTTATACCAAGTGATACAAAGAAATTCAGAACCATGATCTTCAGTGGTTTTAATATGATATTGATTATCTCGAATATCTCTAAAACTCAGCAATGTTCTTCCGGAACGTGGATAATAAAGTGCCTCCTTAATGGTCAGAATTGTACCATTAGACAACATGATACGTGTCTTTCTGTATCCTTTAATCAAGTTGGATGAACATGAGAAAGTTGTCAAATAAGCTTTCTTGGGTATGAAGTTAGTAAAATAGTGGCGTTCACGCAAGATGGTGTGCGTGGTTGCACTATCTGCCAAACAACTAACTTCCCCACTAGACATACCTAGAAATAAATTGATTGAATTGGTCACATGTATAAATATAAGTTCATTCATTCAATTAAGCAATTCGAGAAAATAATATCCATTTAAATAACAATCCATAATTCAAAACAAACCAAAACCAAACAAATTATTCCAAATACTTAGAAAAATTGTTCAAAATTAAACCATAAACCTAGCAAAATAGGGGGTAGGGCCGGCTACTCCTAGTGGGTTCGGCTACTAGGAGTAAACGCCCTAAATACGTGTCTAATTTATTCATCTATAGGTGCTGACACATCTTGGAAATTTGATATCTCCATTGATGTAGTTACATCTTCCGGATGATCCACATGTGTAAAGTTAGACTCACGACTGGAATGATACTTAGCAATAGCCTCAGGGGAAGCTCGGCATACACGTGACCAATGATCCCTTGATCCACAGCGGTAACACATGTCCAGTTCAGTAGAAACAGCTTGAACGGGAGCTTTGCCCTTGTTCTTGAAGTTTGAGACCTTAGGGGCAAGTGATAGATGATGCTGGGTCGCAATTCTTCCCTTAGGTGCGACACTCTATTGACCTTGGGCCTGTGGTTGGATTTGCCGACCATTGCCACAGCCACGACGATTCTTTCGTCATTTATGGCTGCTATAATAGGTCGCATGCGCTTTAGGCGTGGCGTTCGAGCTAGTGGGTCGAGCTTGATGATTCTTCATAAAAAACTGGTTATGCTTTTTAGCGAGAAGTAAAACAGAGATCAAATCTGAAAACTTGGTGAATTTATGTGCCCTATATTGTTGATGCAGGACAATATTGGTGGCATGGAAGGTCGAATAGGTATTCTCTAGGAGATCTGATTCGGTTAGTTCTACTTTGCAAAATTTCAATAGAGAACGGATTCTACAAACTTTAAAGTTGTATTCATTCACGAACTTAAAGTCCTGGAAGTGAAGATACTGCCAGTCGTGTCTTACTTCAAGCAAGTATATGTCTTTCTGGTGATCGAAACGGTAGGCCAGAGCAAGCCAGAGGGTGCGTGGGTCCTATTCAGCAAGATACTCAGTCTGCAGTGCATCATGAATGTGTCTTCAGATAAAGATCATTGCAGTAGCCTTCTAAGCTTCGTCAATAGGTTTGTCGGCGATATGTGTCTCGATGGTGACTCTAATACCCTTTGCAGTGAGATGGAGCTTCACGTCTTAAACCCACTTCAGATAGTTTCTTCCAGAGACTTCTAGAGCGAAGAAATCGAGCTTGTTCAAGTTTGACATGTCCCTAAAATGGAGGGAGAAAACGTGATTAGTCATATGGTAAGCCATAGACATATATCATAGAATATACAGGTTCTTTAGACATGTATTGGTTTAATTTATGCATGAAAACTACGGGTTTCATGTGGTATGTTTTGAATGAAAACTTAGGGTTTCAAAGGCACTAAATTTGAAACTACAGGTTCAATTTAGTTTTATGACCAATTAGTTCATAATGAGAGGTTCCTGCAAAAAACACATAATGCAATATACTAACTAAGTGTAGTGGATTTGAGTTGTCTTCGGGAACTCAAGTGTGAGATCTTCATTACTACGAAAGTATGTGACGGTTCAAAGTATAAAAAATAAATTATTGAATCGTTAATGTCCAAAAGTGATCTTCAGGTCAATAATTTTGGATTCATTATCAGATTAATGGACTGCAGGTCACTTTTAATTAATTCAATAAGTTGGGCCATATAGGGTCGATTATAGAAGCAAAATAATATTAACATACGGGTTAAATTATTTAAAATGCTAAAATAATAGCATTGGGTCAAAAAATTGCCCCCAAAATACAATTGGGCTCGGGTTGGGTTCCTAGAGCATAAGGCACGACCCAAAAAGGGTCTTGGGTGTGAGCTGTAGGCCACGGGGCAGGGAAGGAAAACCCAGCCGTAGCTAGGTTTTAGTTGGGACCAGGAGGGGTGTACAGGGCAAGGCCCAGCAAGAGCTGGCCTTACGGGTGATACACGGGAGGACAAAAACCCAACCCGTGGGCTGGCGTGTGCGTGCAAGACAAGGACCCAGCAAGCATGACAGCTTGCTGGCATGAGCCGAGTGCAGAGTGAATGTCCAAAAAAGGAAGGTGTAGGCTTCCTTGATGAATAGGGCGACGAGCCCGTGACAACCCAACCAGGCCGAAGGCCTAGGGTGTCATTCTGCTCGCAGCAAGGCTGCTATTAAGGTCCATAATAATGCATTAAAGCCCATAGGGCTCCTGCCCAGTTTATGTCACAAGGGTGGTGTCCAATTTCCTAAAAATTTTCGAAATTGTTAGGGTTCTACAAACCCTAATATGCTTCTAATTTAATTTTATGCTTTGACTCATAAATTTCACATAACAATTTAATTGTGCGATGCATGAAACAAATATATATATTGACAAATATATAAACATATACAATATATATATCGAAAGGAAAATATAAACATAGAGGGGTTCATGCATCATGGAGAATGTTTTCATACTTCGTGAACGTTTCAAATATCTTCTTTTATTTTAAGCATGCTTGATTAGTAGAAAATGAATAAGCCTTTGAATTTGGTGGATGAAAGCTTCCTCCAACGATGCGTCAATTCCTTAGCTTCTGGCAAGAGCGTGCTGATAACGTATTGTAGGCCTATTTGATTGAACAATCTACGATTTAGAGAGAGAGGGGGGCCGGCCACTATTAGAGAGAAGAGGGATTGATTTAATCATGAGATGTGTTTGATTCACACTATTGTGCATTTATTTATAGTAGTATGAAGAGTAAAACTTTTTCTTTTAGGATTACAATATTTAATAGGTAATCTAATCCTAATAGGAATATAAGATACATTCCCAGATTCCTTAGGATTTACACAATCATATTCATATTCTAAATATGACTGCAACAAGAATTATTTTATCTAAAAAAATCTAAAAAATTAAAATTATACGAGTCATCCTTCATTAAAATTACGATTTTGCCTAACGATTCGCTCCCTGGATCCCGTCCGTTTCGCTCTCATCTCCTTCCGTCTCCCGTCTCTCTCTCTCTCTCTCTCTCTCTCTCTCTACATCCATTCGCATTTGTCTTCCCCTCTCTCTCTCTCTCTCTGAATTTTGGGTTTTGGATTCTCTAGCTTTCTGGGAAAATTTATCTTTCCCCATGAAACACAATGAATCCACAAAATACCCAATCTACCCCGCCTCCAATTCTCCATTAATCCCTTCTTCCAACAATTTCAATTCCCGATCAATCTAGAATCTCCTCTTCGATTCGACTCAGCGATGACACGGGATGCTTCGCTTCTATCGCCACCGCTAACTCGGCCTCCGCCTCGCGAGAGGCGCGGGGTCGGCGAGGTGGCCGGCGGCGCCGCAGCGGAGTGCGCGGCGGTGTGCTGCTGCTGCCCGTTCAGCGTGATGAATTTGCTGATATTGACGGTGTACAAAGTCCCGAAAGGGATTTGCAGGAGGGCCTTGGCCCACAGGAAGAACAAGCGGCGGTGCTTGGCCGCCCAGAAGAAGGCGCTGTTGCAGCCCAGGCCCAATGGGCTCGCCGGCGGCGGGCTCTATAGCGACGACGAATTCTTTAGGAGAGCGAGCAGCTACAGCGATGGCGACGTCGATGACCGAAAGGGTAGCGAGGATGAAACGGAGGGCGCTGATTTGTTGGAGAAGGAGATGTGGGACCGATTCGACGGTGCCGGCTTTTGGAGGAGCGCTTCTCGGAGAGATTTGTGATGATCAATGTCGTCGTTTTTGGACTCGCATGTCGTTTCATTTGAATTCGAATTTGGGTGAGGACGGTTGGGCAAATTGGTCATTCAATGAATTGTAAATGTGAAAATTTTGAGATTAATGAAGAATTTTAAACAAAAATGAATATAAATTCGGGCATCATATTTGGATTTTGAGTTTAATCTACCAACGATATAAAAGCCAATTGAGCATTAACATTTTGTTTCATTTTTTCTGAAATGACCATTTTATTTTCATTTTTTTCTCAAAGTCCAAAACGAGTAGCTTAGATGGTTTAGAAACAAATATTGAATACTTGAAAACTTACTACTCTTAAAACGCTTGCAGCTCATGGTTAAGAGTGTTTGAGACATTTGAGATAGTGTTCAATTCTGTATGAAATTCACAGGAGTCGATTTCCAATGCCAAAACAAACCAACCGCCTCCTTCAACTGTCGAAAAGGTAGACGAAGAGTTCATGTCACTAATACATGGTGGTTTGAGCACAACTTTGCCAAATGAATACAAGTAATGAAAAGGTTTAGGTAAAGGAAACTGCCATTGACATTCTTTTTGTTTTTTTTTTTTTGTTTTAATAAAACGGCATTAAATTTCATTGAAAGCATCATAAAATGCTCGACGGTACAAGGGTATGATTCTTCCTCTAGAATAAGATCACTAACAATAGGGGGAGGATTATCAATCCAAGTAACAGTCATCACCGGAGTGGAGAGCAAATCGAGCCAAACGATGAGCTATGGAATTGGCTTGTTGGCGGATATGAGAAGTAATAGCTTTAATGGCCAAAGTCAGCAAGAACTTCGCATTCTCAATGATAAGTCCCAAAGGAGAGACATTTAGAGAAGCATCCCGAATTGCTGAAATAGTCTGAAACGAATCACTTTCAAGAATAATGTTGTGTAAACCCCTTTCTACCACCAGCTCAATTGATTTCGGTTTGAACTCAAAATAAACATCAGATTTAAACAAGGCTCAATTGCCTTTTTCCACTTAAAATTTAAATGGATATTTATTTTAGTAGAAATGAATAGTGCAGAAGCCCAAATGATTCAAAAGTACTTTCCACGTGGCATTATGGGTGGCAAACCTTTTTCACATTGTACATTTAACCCAATCAATTTTTATACAGAAAAACCAACTTTCGAATGGCATTTTGGTAGTTTTGAGGAGGATAAAAGCTCAAATTGTGATGTAAATTCTTATCCTCCGTCAACAATCACATTGACAATTGGGAGCAGAGATAATTATTTCGAGAAGAAAAGGCTTAATTGGGAAGGTCAACTCTATATAAGACAACAAAAAGGAATAAGAAAATGACACTCAACTCATAACACAAAAAGATTTTAATGCTCTGCAGGCTACCTTCTTTCAAACTCCCTATGTAATCCACATTTTTGTACTTGTATTTATGTTTAAAGCACTGCTACATTGCTCAGTATAGATTTCATTTGCAAAAATGTCATTTTCAAACACTTCAGCAGCCTACAAGAACTTGCCCGATTAGGTCTAAACTTGTCTGATCTCTTATATTTCGTATTTCTTTTATGTTAGTATTTTGTATTTGGGTATTTGCTAAGTATTTAACTTCATTTCCCTTCCCTTTTTTTCATTTTCATATAATCTTTCATACATTTCAATAATCACATCTATGTGAAAATTGCAAACTAAGTTCAACTAAGAGTTGATCAATTTGTAGTTATCATCTGGTAGTGAATGATTCTTTGTCAGCATTGTTTATTTAAGAAGGAAATGCCTTCTGTTATCCCAATTCCAATCCCATGTAGCTTTTCCCACTCCCGAGACTTGAACTTTTTTACCAAACAAGTACTTGTCAAGTGATCTAATTTCCTTCAAAATTATTGCTTTTTATTGAGTTCGTCTTTAACGGAAGGTGATAAATATAACCTTGTCCAAAATTATAATCTTGCAATAATTTTTTTTTAAATGAACAGTGATAGGTCATGTTAATATACAATCTCTAACGTAGGAGCTAAACATAGCCCTTCAATAATTTATTAGTTTAAAGTTTATCTTTAAATTTACTGGTTAATTTAATTCCTACCATTATTAAAATAAGGTTATCCGAACATAATTTTTTAGTGCTACCCACACTAAATGAATAAGTCTCCACATTATTATCTTTATATAATTCCATAATTTTTCAGATAGGATTTTTGAGTGAGGTGTCTGTGTATAAAAAATAGTATTTGATGTTATCAGGGTATTTCCTAAGACAAGCTAACTCTTGTGAGATCGATCATGATATATTCGAGCCGTTGATATTATCAGGGTATTTTCTAAGACAAGCTAACTCTTTTGAGATATTCTGGGACTTGGTATGAATCTGCATCAAGGGAGACCAGAGAATGTTCTCAAAGCCCAAGTCCACCTCGACCTAAAACTCCCCCAACAGAGAGTATGTAAGGGTGAAGAGGATGTGAGAAATGGTATAGAAATGAGATAAGTATTTATAGAAAAAATTAGAATATTTTTTTTTAATTTCGCCTAAGAAAATTCTAACGGGTAGCTGACGTCAGCTAGCAGTTGCCTTATGAGCCGTTGGATTTGAATTATTTTATGCAACAACGGTGCTCGGCCCTAGAAAATAGGCTGGGATGGGACTTCAATTGGCCAGCTTGATGCCCTCTTGACCGAAACATTGCCCGGTGGGCTCCATAATATTATTCCCCAACCATCCATTTGATTGAGTTTTTAGGCAAATCTCTTTTTTTTTTTTGGCTTTTAAACCTTTAGCATTCTTCATTGTAGATGGCTTGAGCGAGCATATCAAAACCCGATAGCCCGATTTATTTTATTTGTAACATTAGAGATCCACTAGTGCAAATATTTAATTGAAGATCGATTCAATCATTGTATTCATATAAGGTCAAGGAGTTTAGCTGCAAAAAATCATCAAAATCAGAGTTAAAATGACCGTTAAATCATGATTTTTCTTTTTATAACCGTCGAAAAGTTTTGTCCCGTTAATTGATCTCTGAATGTTTGTTTTTTGTAATTTTTGACGTATGCGATCTCGAAATATATACAAACATGTTTGACGGTTGGATCTTTGAAACTAGTTTCGTAGAATGAGTATCCCATCAAAACAATAGATTCTCTAATACTTAATAGTTTATTCATACTTTTATTAAGCATAACATAAGATTTTGTGGTATCCACTAGTGTAAATATTTTAAATTGAAGATCGAATTCATTACTTGTATTCATATAGGGTCAAGGAGTGTAGTTGTCAAAAATCATCAAAATCGGAGTTAAAATAACCGTTAAATCGTGATTTTTCGTTTATAACCGTCGAAAACTTTTGTCCCGTTACTTGATCTCTAAATGTTTTTTTTTGCAATTTTTGGCGTATGCGATCTCGAAGTATATACAAACATGTTTGACGGTTGGATCATTGAAACTAGTTTTGTAGAATGAGTATCCCATCAAAACAATAGATTCACTAATACTTAAGAGTTTATTCATACTTTTATTAAGTATAACATAAGATTTTGTGGTATCCACTAGTGTAAATATTTTAAATTGAAGATCGAATTCAATCATTGTATTCATATAGGGTCAAGGAGTGTGGTTGTAAAAAATCATCAAAATCGGAGTTAAAATGACCGTTAAATCGTGATTTTTCGTTTATAACCGTCGAAAAGTTTTGTCCCGTTACTTGGTCTGAATGTTTGTTTTTTGCAATTTTTGTCGTATGCGATCTTGAAGTATATACAAACATGTTTGACGGTTGGATCGTTGAAATTAGTTTCGTATAATTCGTATCCCATGAAGTTCAATGGTGTGTGTGTGTATATGTATTTATTTTATTAAGTAGATTTAAATCTATTTATTTTGTATGTATAATTATTATAGTTTTTAGGGGTATAAAATTTAATTAATATATATATTATATTATTATAGTTATATATTTGGTATAATTATTATAGTTAATTTAATATATATATATATAATTATAGTTTTTAGGGGTATAAAATTGTTAAATTAATATATATATATATATATAATTATTATAGTATTTTTTTAGGGTTATAAATTATTAAATTAATATTCCACTTATCGTGTATCGTGTTACCCACGTGTATACCCGAACAAACCCGTTATCTTAACAGGTGCTTATCGGGTTACCCGATAACGACCCGTTTCGTTATCGTGTCGACCCGAACACCTGTTAATTTCGTGTCGTGTCGTGTCGGGTTATCGGGTCGTGTCAGGAATTGCCAGGCCTAGGTGCAACTATAAATAATAGTGGTACCTTGTGGTGCAATTATAAAATTACAGCAGAAGTATAGACTTGCAATTACCTAGTAGAATTTAAAATGTTTACCTATTAATCGTCTACCATTAAGTTGTTAAACTCCAATTCCACCAAACCGAACTCCACTATTCCCTTTGGTATCAAATGAAAGCTGCATATGAAATCAACGTCGTGTAGCATTATAACTTTTAACCATATTGATGATGTTGAAGTGAATAACTAAAATGAAGAGTAAACATAGGCATACGATAGATTTGGAAGTATCAATATTAAGAACAGTGTTTTCTGTTGGCTTTTAGTATACAGTAATATGCTAAATTGTCCGACCAACTCATAGAAGAGTGAGATTCTAGTATTGGAGTTTATGAGTGGTCGTACACATCTACCTGATTCAACTAGCGGACACAAAAATTTCTTAAAATGACAGGGTTGTGTTTCTCAATTTTACGTTATAGTATCAATAAGAATCCACTAAGTTTTTAACATGCGGCTAGATTGTACCACATATTTGTTTGGGGTTTAACCTTAATCTTACTCAAGGTTCTAAAAGACATTAGGCGCTAGTAGGGTGGTGGGTTAGGGCCTAGCGCCTAGACGGTTATGCGGGGTCTAGACGGGTGCCTAAGCAGACTAGGCGGATGTAAGTAAATCTATTATATTTTGTGTAAATAAGTGTCTGTTTATACTTAAAAATTCAATAAGTGCTTATGTACTTAAAAAAATAAAAAATAAAAAAATTTATTTTGAATAAATAATTATAAATATGGATATATGTGTAAATTTTAAGGGCATTATATGTTAGTTTCATAATGTTTTTCAAACCCATTCAACAAGTGGGATGTTAGGTGGCACGTTGGTATTGGGCAACAATTAAAAATAGGTTTGTCACGTGGGATTGGGAGAGGAAGTTTCCCACTGCATCGTCTTCTTCCTCGAAAAAAGCTGTGCTCCTCATTCTCCATATTAAAAACAGAGGCCCTGCGTCTTTCCTTTCTCAACCATGCTCAGACCTACTGAGCCTCTAGCGCCTGCCTAGGCGCCCTAGTTGCCACCTAGCACCCATAGGCACCCGCCCAAGCTCTTCAGGCACCTGCCTATTATCTTCTCTGATTTTCCTCCCGATTTGGACTGAATCAGGGCAGATGACCACCGTGTAGCGCCTAGGCGCCGCCTAGGCCGATTTTAACTTTTAAGAACATTGATCTTACTCTCTAAACCGGTCAAATTTAACAAAAAATAAAATGAAGAAAATTGAATTGAAAAATTTGCAACTACAACTATTAGAGGATCTTTGATTGCAAAAAAACACAGAAAAAAACAAGTCAAGGTGTTCCCATCTGATCATCGCTATTCTAGCCGGCCATTAGTGGCATTTTCTGGTTATTTTTTTCCCTTAATTATACGTTGACTATGCTTTTCACCTTGCATATTTGGCCGGACATGCAAATATTAAAACACAAATAGCCATCATTCATTGCTAGCTCTCTCATCAGCAATCAACTAATTAATTAACTAATCCCATCTCAACCAAATCAATTCTTCCTCTCCTTTTCTTAAACCACCTAACAGAATTAAATTTACAATTTCCGATATCAGAAAACCATGGTTTACCTCTCCCTTCTAATCTTGGTTTCCCTAAGTTCAAGCTATGCTCAGCAGTTCTATGACCAATCTGATTGCGGTGTTGAGGCTAGCAATTCAGGCTCAAGATACATTTGCAATATGTTCCAAAATTCTTGCCAAACATTCTTGGTCTACAGAGCCAACCCGAATTTTCAAACTGTTTCGAATGTCTCAGACTTGTTTCGAATGGATTCTGATCAACTGCTTGGACTCAACAATCTCACATCTCCTTCTGAGGAACTGAAAGCAGGTAGGGAAGTTATTATTCCCATTAAATGTTCTTGCTCAGGTCAATATTTTCAGGCAAGTTTCAGCTACACGGTTTTGCAAAACACGTCATACTCCGAGGTTGCTTGTGGGGTTTTCGAAGGCTTGCTCAAGTCGTTTACACTCAAGGAGGAAAATATGTCCCAAGAAAACAAGCTTGTGGTTGGCACTGAGCTTCTTGTGCCTCTAAGATGTGCTTGTCCTGATAAGTTAGCTAGCAGTAGTGGAGTGAAGTACCTTGTGACCTACCCTCTCATAGAAGGCGACAGGCCAGTCATCTTAAGCCAGAAGTTTGGCATCTCTCCTGAAGATTTTTTATCAGTGAATCATTTAGCAAATGACGAAACTGTGTTTCCGAATACGACTGTTTTAGTTCCCTTGAGAGCAGCTCCGGAGTTAAACTTCAACATCCAATATTCTCCCCCTCCAGCTCCTACTCTTCTTCCCACAATTGCTGTGGAAAAAATCTAATAGAAATGCGAAAACTGATCAAGAAATTGTATGTAGCCGGGTCTGTTGTTGGGTTTTCTCTGCTACTGGCAGCTTTAATTGCATTTGTAATTTTGTACAGAAGGGCCTTAAGGAAATGGAAGAGAGAGAAGATCATGTCCTTTACTGCTTTAAGCTCTCCAATTTCATGTTCAACTGTCAGAAGCCCGTTTAAATCCGGTCAGACAGGCAGAAGCTCTCCGATTTCATCATGTTTATCGCCTGATATTCTTGCTGGATT